GATTTTGCATGCATAACACAAAATTCCTAATCAGGAACGAGCCATCGCATTTCTTTCCCGCACAGAGAGTAATGTATAGAGCAGTCGGTAGTTAGTCTTCTAAACACATCACTTGGTCATTGATGGTCTTGTTATATTTTCGATCATCTAAAGTTACCTACTACTCAAGAGTGAATAGTATCTCACAACACTCCTACCCTCGGTGAAAAGGATCTCTGCATACCTTCACCAGTGGACGACTGTCTCCTGGATTGTGCTCGCGTTTGTATCTGATTTTCGACGTTGGGCGGCGTCATGTCTGACCTTGTGTAATTGGATTCCGGAATTTCTAATGATGATTTACGGCGTGTGCTGTACATTTCTTCGTGCCATGTTGCGGGATCCTTCCGATGTACACAACGGACTTCGTTCATCCGTTGAATTTTGTACACGGGATTGCGTTGTTCAACTATGCGGTATGGACCTTTCCATTCAGGAATTAACTTCCTCGAGCCAGGGCCGCTCGCTAATCCCCCAACATGCTGCTTATACTTTACTTTAGATCCAACCGGAAGCCCAATGGCCGTCCGTCTAGTTTTTATCCTAGACTTGCGCATTGTATTCTCCTGCGGCTTCTTCAGGTTATTCCGGGCTTCATATCTGGTCTGCTGAAGTTGTTGCGTAGATAAATCGTTTCACGGCCAAATGCCAACGTTGGGATCCACTGGTAGCTTCGGAATTCTTCCATACATCAGTTGAAATGGTGTATGTTTGCTACTGGCCTGCGTGGTCGAGCGGCACGCCAAAAGTAGGGAAGGTTGAGCCGATTCCCAATCCCCTCCTTTCGCTGTCAGCCATTCTTTGATTGTTCTGTCATTGCGTTCAGTGAGGCCGTTGGTTTGTGGGTGATAGGGCGTTGTGCGCATCTTTTTGATGCCTAATTTCTGTAAGTATGTGCGAAAGTCATCGCTCTCAAAGCACGGGCCTTGATCTGTAACGATGGCTTGCGGTACCATGATTCGCCACAATATGCTCCATCATAACTCTGCTTATCGTAGCTACTTATTGATCCGCGACTCCTACGGCTTCGATCCAGCGCGCGTAGTGCTCTGTTATTACAACGATGTATTGGTGTCCTCAAAGGGTTATCGGAAATGGACCTATGAGGTCGACAGACCATAACTCATCAATCTCGGATACTGGTATTGGCTGAATTGGACAAAATGTTACTACAAGACTAGGGTGTCCAGAACCCAGCCGCATTCTAACTGGGGAAGAAATAGAGCAAGTCGATAAGTTTTGTTATTTAGGCAGCTACATCTCACACGGTGGACGCATCACGGGTGAAGTGTCTGCTCGCATACAGAAGGCTCGGTTGGCATTTGCCAAATTGAGACATCTGTGGCGTCGTAGAGACATCCGGCTGTCTGTGAAGGGCGGAGTGTATGCTGCAGCGATTCGGCCAGTTCTGCTATACGGAGCAGAAACTTTGCCGTTAAGAAATCAGGACACATATAGACTTTCGGTGTTTGAACATCGCTGTCTACGCATCATTGCACGAGTCTGGTGGGGCAGCCGGAATAGTAATGCTGAGGTCCGGTGCAGAATTTTCGGTATCCGCGGTCGTTAACTGGAGCAAGTGGTCGATCTCCACGTTTTTTGGGGCATGTATTAAGCATTTTACCAGATAGGTTGCCACGGTGAGCGATGTTCGCCGGAATCTGCTTCCTCCTGACTAGACAAAATATCCGCCATACAGTTTCCGGCACCTGCAACATGATTGGTCGTGAAGTCGTACTCCTGGAGGCGAAGCTCCCATCGGGCTAGTTTTCCTCTCGGGTCCTTGGCGGTTTTAATACACTCCAGCGGCCTGTGATCCGTTTCTATATGGAACATTTGACCCAGAAGGTATGGTCACCACTTATCTATGGCCCGAACGATTGCAAGATATTCTTTTTCCGCGATTGAACATTTCTTTTCCGTTGGAGTCAGGATCCTGCTTGCGTATTCAACCACTCAACTTGCTTGTTTGAGTACAGCTCCTACTCCAACATCACTGGCATTCGTTACCGCTGTAAAGCGCTCGTCAATCACCGGTTATTTCAGTGTCTGGTGTTGTTCGGTCATGATCATTTGGAGTTCATCGAAGGCTTTCTGGGCTTCTGGTGTCCATCTGAAGCGATATTCTCTTTTGAGCAAGGCGTACAACGGTTCGGCGATATTCGTAAAAATGTTTGACAAACTGGCTTTAGTATGTGGCGCATCCTAGAAACCGTCCTAATGTTCTTTTCGATGTTAGGCGTGCAAACTCCCTTAACTTGAGGATCTTCTCAGAGAGTGGCCTCATTTACCTACTACTCACAAATGAGTAGTATCTCACGACACAACGACTATAAGGAGTGGCGTTTCATCAAACTGCCGAGATGTTTTTACATCAATCCGTCGTCTTACTTCTTCACCAAATTATCACGGTAACGGTCGAAGACAACGCAGTCGGCAAACGATAAACTTGCGAACTGTCATAAGTCCTATTCCAATAGTGGGTAACTTCAAATGCCCGCATCCTAATCAAATTATGATCTCTCACCCATCGTTCCAACGTCAGTTTAAACAGTTAATCGACGCGCATCCGCTGTACAACCACGTGACGGAGCCCACGATGTTTGGGAAGCTGAAGACCCCGTCAATGCTGGATCTGGTACTAACCAACGAAGAGCTTATGGTTGAATCCATCGGCGCCTCGCCCCCTTTAGGACACAGTGAACACGCAGTATTGTTGTTCAATTGTCTGCGATTCTTCGATAGAAAGAACTACGCACAACAATACACGTCTCGCCACGGACCATACTAGGTTGCAGAATTTGGCTCATTGCACTCAGTGGATCTTTCCTGGGGACATACGTGACCTGCTCGTCACCTGGCAAGCATTTACGAACAGGCTTACAAATCTGATCGCCTCAGTTACTAAGGTTGTCAAAAGGGTCCAAAACTCACCGATTCGCAGCCACAGAAAGAAATGGATGTCTCTGCGAAATCGATCTTGGCGAGAATACAACCGATTTCTAACTAGAATAAATATCGACAATTGCAAAACCATTGCACCCGTTTGGTGCAGGAAGATGAGCTGAGGTCTCAAGGAACGCACTCACGGAAGGTCATTTCCAACCCGTCGCTACTATACAAACATGTCAATATGTTGAGGATAGTAAAGTATGGAATACCCGCACTCAGCTGCCTTGGGAAGGACGCCAGTAACTCCTAGGAAGCACTTGAGGTGCTGAAAAACCAATATACCCAAGTCTTAGACATCCAACAACGTGAGACTGCGGTTACCTCGTCGGATACTTTTCCAAATCCACCACTGAATACCTTCAAGTTGAATGCCGACAGAGTGAAATCACAGCTTTTGGGTCTACGTAAGTATTCGGCTCCCCAACCGCTTATTTCGTTGGCGGATCACGTATCTGAGCCGCCAGCTTTTCTGTTCCAAAGGATGTTTAACGTAACCGTGCTGTCTATATCAAGGAAACGAGGCATAATTTCTCCAATTTGCAAGGGCGGCTGTCGTAATGATCCGGCCAACTACCACCCGGTGACATGCTCCGTTACTCTCTTCCCCGTATTATCCAAAGTCATGGAATCCGTCGTTGCAATGTGATGAGTCAATTCGAAAAGTACAATATGCCATTCCTTCATCAACATGGGTTTCGTCGCAGGTGAATGTGTACCATTAATCTGCTTCTGACCCGAGAAGAGTGAACAAAAGCAGCTGGCCACGGTGATACAGTGAGCGTAGTATACCTCGACTTCTCCAAAGCATTCGACCGAGTGAAACACAAAATACTGCTGAGGAAACTACACGATTATGGGTGTCAGGGATTTGTAATGGTTTGGATAGAAGAATCGCTTCAACAACGCAGTGGCAGTTCGGGTTTCTGGGTAACTTTCTGATCTTATCAGCGTTGCTCGAGGGGTTCCACAGGGATCCGCACTTGTTCCTCAACATTTTCTAGTTTTTATAAAAGATCTAAAGGACACTTTGGAATCACAAACGCTGTTTGCAAACATATGGAAAACAATGAAAAAAACCAGAGGACCCGCTGGCACTTCAAAAAACATCTAATGCGGCTTAGCAATAGTCGATAGAAAACCAAATCGAATTCCATGCATCAAAATGTACGGTCATATCTTTTCACCACAAAACTCGGTTTCCGTACTTCCTGCGATATCAACAACTCCGAATGTGAAGGATCTCGTTGTCAGTGTTCAAGACAATCTAAGTAGTTCTTTAAACTGGTCCTGGGAGTCATCAACCGCTGTAAGACATGTTGGCTTGCTAAAGCGAATGCTTGCTGAGTTTGAACCTACGCTGTTGCCACGGTTATCGGCTTACATTCGATCCCCACTAAAGTATGCAATTCAAGCGTGGAATCTGCGGTTGAACGTCCACAAAGAATGGTCACCAAAATGGCCAAGGGACTGCATTCCAAGACTTATGTGGAAAGACTGGAGCCATTGGGGTTGTACTCTGCACAGTATCGCCGAATTCGGCAGGATTCGATTTTGGTGTATGAAACAATGTACAACCTTGATCACTCATGTCATCCAACACCCAGGGAGCACTCACTCAAATTGGTGCTCCAAAAGTGTCGACTAGAATACCAGCGTCATTCGTTTACCCTCAGAGTGTGCAGTATTTGGAAATCTCTACCAGCTCGTCTTCTTTCGACGCCAAAAGCTGATTCGTTCAAGCACAAACTGGATAAAACTTTGACAATTCCTAAATCTTAACATGTGTAGCAAAGCACGAGACAAGGATAGTTTGTGACATTCTTAATATTTCCAGGAACAGTAGTAAATCGATCCATTTGTGCTGAACCCTATGGTACAAGAAAAGCAACCGCTTGTGGATTTAGCCCCCGGCTACTGGAAGTAACCCGATTCAGTTCGGAGTTCATCTTGCCAATTGCGATTGAATAAAATCTTTCCAATTGTAACAAAAATGTTCATCAACTACAAAGTCAACGACAATCACGAAAGATGTATACAATTGTATTCTCCAACATGTCGGTGGAATTCTGTCCACAGAGGAATTCGCTACATGTAGAAATTTGAGAGATGATAATGAAAATGCGGACTAGTTTACAAACTGAATTTGATGCGTCGTTTACGCAATCGTTCCAATTCCCGGNTCGAGGTTGTCCGTTCTCCGGGCAAGCGGGAGACGGGGTCCACGTGGACGTTATTCGACGCGGATGATAGACTTCGGGCGGATCACCTTCTCGTAACCGAATGTACAAATTGGTGTAATGATAGTTGTCCATGAAGACTTGACTACGTACACCTTTGTAAATACGAGGAATTGCACGCCCACGACTCACGTGCACAGTTTCTGTGAGACAGCGACGGGAGGGAGAGGATATAAAATTAGGACAGGACTAACCACGAAAAGGATAAATCGAGTCAGCATATGTAGAAATGAGATTTTCGATTCTAAATATGAGATTCTGGTTGCATAACTGCGCTTTCATATCACTAGGCATAATGGACCACGACGACGACGGGCCAATGGATAGAGTAGCATTCACAAATCAACTGAGATGCGGTTTGCCGTCTTTTGTATCGGAAAGCAGGTAACAAGACATGAAAAATACCTAAATCAAATTACATCGAGTTTTGCGCACTGGAAGGGTGAGTTTTCAACAATGCATTTCTCTTCCACCGATGAAAATTAATAATATTAGTGAAGTTTTTGCTTCATTTTAACTTATTGAGAAGAGAAATATAAAATAAACTTTCAGGAAAGGACTGTGACCAAATAAAGGCTGTCCGGAAAAATACACAAACGAAGAAGATGGAAGACAGTGGCGGATTCGAAATGAGTAATTGTTTTGAGTAACTTAACCCTTACTAACTAAAAACGGACGGCAGGAAAAAATGCGTAATCGAAAAATTCCATCACTGGGATCGGCAACATTCTATGCGCTAATAAAAATAATGGGAGACAGCTATGGAAATATACCGCTCCTCTTAGCGGCGATTCACGCAGGCAAATGGCTAAATGCGTAGTGTGTACCGTTATACCATACCAAAGATGTCGCCTTTCCACTCTGTGTTGACAACCAGCTTGTTCCCCCAGTAAATTCTCTACAATATCACTATCTGCCAAGATCTCACCTGGACTTAACATTTGAATTCTACTTTGTAAAGATTCGACGGTTGTTTCTTTATTTCCCGCTTGCGTTCTTTGAAAGTTCCACCGTATTTACTCACTCAATTTGTATATCCTTGTGTTGTTACTCATCTTCTCTACTGCTCCTCAGAATTATTTACCGGTCTTAGAGCTAGAGATTACACAATTCTACACCGGTCTATTAAAATTATTTGTCGCACAAGCGGTATTCCCTATTTGCACTGGCTTAAATTTATCGTTGATAAACATTTTACCTCTTGCGATAACTTCTACAACAATATTCTATCACCAATTACACACAGAACTTAAAAAAACCATATCCACTTCTGTAATTAGATATCGTTAAAACTGGTGTATTCATGTACCATTGTTTATCGTTTGTCCGTCATCCTCTAACTTTCGAGATTTCTAGCGCAAAAGATATCCGTTAGAGAACTTCTTCGATTGCCTACGCAACTGATATTCATTTTCTAACCTTTACCCAACAATCCCTTGGATTTACAACGTTATTTTTTCACTTTTTTGTGACTGTATGCGACGATAAATGTTCCTGGAGTTCCAGAGACTGAGAATCCAACAATAAAGATAAATAAAACGATTTTTGACTTGACTCGAATATACAAAATTTCCGTTGACAACTGATTCAGACTGTTGGAGTCTGATGGTCAAAATTATTTATCACCAAAACTGTTCTTGTTGTTATGGCTAATAGAGGTACGGACACAACGAAACAAATGAATTCAATTTTAATTTCTACTTGGCAATCACTTT